TTTTTTTTTTCATTAGATTTACGGGGATTTGTCATTTGGATTGCCATTGTTTCAGTCAGCATGGTTTTTATCATCCTTTTCCTGTTTATACCGCCTTGTCACGGTAAGACTACTGTTGTATTTTATCTTTTAAAACATTTCAAATGAATTTCTTTCATCTGTGCTTACCATTTGGTTAAAACTCAAAACAAACATTTTAAAAACTTGAGGTGAGTTGCCATTTGCAAACTTTCATATTGTGACATATATATTTTTGAGTGAAACCATGAATTTGATTGAATTTGATTGGATTGTTAAACAAAAAATAACTAAAAGGATCCAGACCTAAATGTGATTTTGTTAAAACAATGCTTAAATAATTTAAAATGCTTAAATGATGCTATTTGTTAACATTATCCAGCAACCTGTGCTGCCTGAGTCACATCAGCAGAAAAGGAAAGAGCATTTTGATTATGAAGATATATATATATATATTTTTTAGAATAACACACACTCGTGAAATGTTCACAATAAAACTTGGAATCTGTATTAATAAAGTAAATAGGGCCAATTATGATTTCATGTTTACTGTAAATGATTGTCACTGTTGTTCTCAAAGATTATTGTGCTGCTTGCTATGGGAGACACAAGACTTCCAGAGTAAGTTTATTTTCTTAATTCCTTGTGAAAAATATTAATGTGCAACATCACAGACAAATCAAATAGATTTTTAGTGATCAACTTCAGCTATGTTTTAAAATGTACATTCAATTATTAGCATTTTTCCTGTTTTGCCTCCCTCAGAAATGACAGTCGATTCTAAATCCCAGCTTTACTGAAGCAACTGGAGCTCTTAACTATCTGTGCCTTCATAACTTTGACTGTTGCTTTTGGACCTCTGTGTCTGCTGGGCCATGCAGATAGTGTTGGAACTTCATCCTCCAGTTCTGAATCTACTGTTAAGTATGCAAATATTTTATTTTCAAAGAGGGACAAGATGAGAATCTCTTCTGCTTAATTAATTTTTATTTTTTGGCCAAGACTGGCATGGAGAGAAGTACTGAGAAGAGGAGC